TATGTTCCATGATCACCATCTCTATGCGCAACCATACCTTATAACCATAAGTGATCTAGGGATTTTATCTTAAGTGCAATTATAAGATAAATGTTTTCTCTTAAGATAAAGAAATGCCTTATTCATAATATAATTCCAATAGACTGTATTTACAAGTAGAATACGTCCAATTAGATTGGAACGCCGGGTACCCTACTCTAACATAAAGATGGCAATATGTGTACGGAAGGTGGCTGCAGAAGTCCTTGGTGTGAGTTGGGGAGGCAAGCAGGAAGCGAAGGACTCTTGGTGGTGGAATGACGAGGTGCAAAGGGCTATTCAGGAGAAGAAGGAGTGTTTCAAGCGCCTCCACCTTGACAAGAGTGCAACCAACATTGAGAGCTATAAAATAGCGAGAAGGGATGCAAAGCGTGCCGTGAGTGTAGCGAAGGGTCAGGCCTATGATGACCTTTATCAGCGCCTAGGCACGAAGGAGGGGGAGAAGGACATTTATAAGATGGCTAAGATTCGAGAGAGAAAGACAAGGGACATCAACCAAATCAAATGCATTAAGGATGGGTCGGATCGGCCACTGGTGAAGGATGGGGAGATCAAGGACAGATGGCGAGAGTACTTCGACAAATTGTTTAATGGAGAGAGTGAGGGTCCTACCCTGGAGTTGGATGACTCGGTTGAGGATATCAATAGATGCGTGGTGAGAAGAATTCGGGAGGCAGAGATCGGAGAGGCTATGAAGAGGATGAAGGGAGGTAAAACAATGGGCCCTGATGGTATCCCCATTGAGGTGTGGAGATGCTTGGGCGCCAGAGCGTTAGCATGGCTAACTAAACTTTTTAACCTCATTTTCCGGTCAAACAAGATGCCTGACGAATGGAGGAGAAGTACTTTAATACCGATCTTCAAGAACAAGGGAGATGTTCAAAGCTGTGGTAACTACCGTGGGATTAAGTTGATGAGCCATACGATGAAGCTCTGGGAGAGGGTTATCGAGCATCGCCTACGACGAGTGACGAGTGTGACCCAAAACCAATTTGGGTTCATGCCTGGAAGGTCGACCATGGAGGCGATTTTCCTAATACGTCAGTTGACGGAGAGATATAGGGACCAAAAGAAGGACTTGCACATGGTCTTTATCGACCTAGAGAAGGCTTATGAGAGAGTACCGAGAAATGTCATGTGGTGGGCCTTAGAAAAGCACAAAGTCCCATCTAAGTACATTACCTTCATCAAGGAGATGTACAAGGATGCGATGACGTGTGTCCGAACATGTGGGGGCGACACCAGCGACTTCCCAATTAAAATAGGACTACACCAGGGGTCAGCATTGAGCCCTTATCTATTTGCCTTGGTGATGGATGAGGTCACAAGGGACATACAAGGTGATATCCCTTGGTGTATGCTCTTTGCTGATGATGTGGTGCTAGTTGACGAGAGTAGAGCAGGGGTAAATAGGAAGTTGGAGCTGTGGAAGGACGCGTTAGAGTCGAAAGGCTTCAGACTTAGTAGGATGAAGACCGAGTACATGACGTGCGCTTTCAGCATGACTTCACATGATGATGGTGACGTTACCCTTGACGGGCAAGTGGTGGCCAAGAAGGAGACTTTCCGGTATTTGGGATCGATGCTACAAAAGGATGGCGGCATTGATGCTGATGTTAGGCATAGAATTGCAGCCGGTTGGTTGAAATGGCGTCAGGCGTCGGGCATTCTCTGTGATAAGAGGGTGCCACAAAGGCTAAAGGTAAGTTTTATAGGACGGCGATTCGCCCGGCGATGCTATACGGTGCTGAATGTTGGCCTATAAAAAGGCAACATGTCCAACAACTAAGTGTAGCAGAGATGCGTATGTTGCGTTGGTTCTGCGGGCACACAAGAAGGGATAGAATTCGGAATGAGGATATTCGAGATAGGGTCGGAGTGGCCCCAATTGAGGAGAAATTGGTTCAACATCGGCTGAGGTGGTTCGGACATGTCCAACGGAGGCCTCCTGATGCACCGGTGCGTAGGGGAGTTCTACAGCGGGTCGAGGATGTCAAGAGAGGTAGAGATCGGCCTAAACTCACTTGGGAAGAGTCGGTCAAGAGAGACCTTAAAGATTGGAATATCTCCAAGGATTTAGCGGTGGATGCCGGAACCGTGACTTTTGCTCCTTCTCTCTCTCTCTCCCTTTCTCTCTCTCTCGTTTTTTTTTTTCTCTATCTCTTCCTTTTGGTTCGAGTCTTTTTGTGTTTCTCTTGGGTTTCATCTCTAGCCTACCCCGACTTGCTTGGGATTAAAGGCTATGTTGTTGTTGTTGTTGTTGTTGTTGGCATTTCAGTCAATTGAAAGATTCTAATTGCATCATTTTTTGAGTGGTTTAGCGTTGCCTTCTTACTAGTTACTATGTTTGCTTATGATGCTGTTGTTTTCGACAGGTGCAAGCTTACTTAAATGATGGTTACTGGGAAGATATTGGTACTATTGAAGCATTTTATAATGCAAACTTGGGAATAACCAAGAAGCCTGTACCGGATTTTAGGTATGGTTTGCACATGTCTACGTAAGAAGTTAGGATGTTGCAAATTTCCAGATCTACCACTTACCTTTGATCAAACATTCTGTATACAGCTTCTATGACCGTTCTGCTCCAATTTATACGCAACCTAGATACTTGCCTCCTTCAAAGGTTCTTGATGCTGATGTGACAGACAGTGTTATTGGCGAAGGTTGTGTTATTAGAGTAAGAAGCCTTTTCACATGTTTTTGATGTATTGGTATATATTGTTATCGGAGGCTTTCATATCATAATGCATTTTGGGATCTTTAAGTTAGTTTGTGGATGTATTTGTCAATTCTCATTGCTTCTTTGTGCATTCTCACATTTTAATGCACAGGCTAACTAAAACCATTATCTAATTTTTGTGCTCCACTTCATCTTCTTTTCACTAGCATTGCACAATCAACCATTCCGTAGTTGGACTCCGTTCCTGCATTTCTGAAGGTGCAGTTATAGAGGACTCCTTGCTAATGGGTGCAGACTATTACGAGGTAAAGTAGAGCCAAACAGAATAATATCATATCATGAGAACTTATCATTCTTTCTGTTTTGTTCAGACTGAGGATGATAAGAAAGTCCTTTCTGAGACTGGTGGCATTCCCATTGGTATTGGGAAGAATGCACATATCAGAAAAGCAATAATTGACAAAAATGCTCGTAATGGAGAAAATGTGAAGGTATTCCAAATATATCGAATTTGGCAAGCTGATGATGTTGTGTAGCCTATTGTTCAACTATAGAGATTAATCAAATTAATCAAATATCTTATTTATGTAAAAAGGTTTCTATGGATCTTTTATTTTTTACCGTTTTCCAAAAGATAGTGACTGCCGTTTTCTAGTTTTTTTCTTGTCAAATTCTGAATTACCTGATCATGCATTTATTTTATATATTTCCATGGAGTAGTTTTAGTGTATCACCATATGAGCTGTAGATCCTCTGTACGAAAAGAAAATTAAAATACGAAGGAATTCCTATTCACTGTTTGTACAAGTTGTTTCTAACTTCTCCTAGAGTTGATAATTGACAAACTGAAAGTGCAATTATTTTTTTGTTATGTATTCATCAGTTCATCCTTCCTAAATAGTTTGTTGTTTTACAGATAATCAAGTTTGATAATGTGCAAGAAGCAGTAAGGGAGACGGAAGGATACTCTATCAAAAGTGGCATTGTCACCGTGATTAAAGATGCCTTAATCCCTAGTGGAACAGTCATATATATAGTCAGCCAACACCATGTATATAAGGTTATATCTCCCACAGAAACCAGTGTTTCTTATGCTTGTAGTACACAATGTTCCTAGCTTTTGCTGAACTTCATATTGCAACTGGATTAAGTTCAATGCTTAGTTCCAGCATGTCGTGGAGTACTGGGTTATCATTTGAGTCGATACACAATTGACACTCATTTTCTATCTGATATATTTTACAGTAGTCAATAATCTGCATTGTGATTAATGAGATTGTGTGAGGCTGTGAGCACATAATGGTTCCCAATTTCCCATTTAACAAGTACATAAAAGCTCCATGTTCACCCATCCCAGCCCGTTAGGGGCTGTGTGCTGTGGGACAGAAATATCTGCTAAGCATGGAACATACATTCTTCAACTTCTATTTTACCCAAGTCTTGTGTTGCCCTACAGGTTGGTTTGCAGCAGATGGTGATCACCAATGCGCATCAAGTTCTCTCATCCCTTTCCAGACCATGCTTATTCCCATGTTGCAAAAATCACCAAGCTCTGCATCAACTTACTGAGGATAATAATCAAATAATAAAATGGTGCCATTCGAAGGCAACATTTGTATGTCACTAGTATGAGGCACTGTTCTAAATGTACTAAATGTACTGTTGAGTGTAATTTGGATAATGTATGCTTTGCAATCGCACACCTAAAATACCATGTGCTTATACTCTTTCTTACCTTAATATGCTCCCTGCATTGCTCAGGGAATGAGGATTAAAAATGGCATACATAACATGATTTTTGTTAGATTGCTGTAAAGCTGACATTCCCCAACTTGCTTGGGAATAAGAGGCTTTGTTGTTTGTTGTTGTTGTTGTTGCTGCTGCTGCTGTAAAACTTACTAAGTTTCTTCTGGCCTTATAGAGATGTTCAGAGTGAAAACTATCATCTTGGATGTGCGAAGAGTTGCCTGTCATTTCTAGGCTTGTAATGACAAAAATTTCTGTGCCTTTGTGCATGATTTTGTTGAATGTTGAACCAATAGGAGTCTATATAATATGGTGTGTGCTTTTATATGATTTGGCAAACATACGTGCAAAGTTGAAATTAAAGGGTGAAATCATGTTGGATATATATAGAATAATACTGATGGATCTTTATTGGAGAAACATATTGCTCAGTCCGCATGCAATATTTCACAAAATGTTCAAATTATGTGAGTGAAGTGCTCAGGCAGCTTAGGCTGTAGAAGCTATCCTATGTATATTTTGCTATTGATCTTTGCCCAGTATCTGCAATAAGGTTATGTCACACAAAAAAATAAGGCTACAAAAGAACAGTGCCTGTATTCTCGGCCAGATTTTATACTGGACTGATGTCATATGACACCCAGATCTTCACTGACTAAAACAGTGTGTGATGAGGTTTCAAAAATCAGTTGAACTGGTAGAGAGGAAACTCTGTATTGAGGGGTGCCGACATGAACTTGAGCACATCATTTACTGGCGCAATCGAGCTTATTGATGCCTTGAGAATCTCCCGTGAGCATCCAGGCTTCAGGAATGGTCCTAACCTGTGACATTGTTATGTTTGATAAGCTTAACAATAGGTACTTTCTTTTCTTCTGAAGCTATATACATATCAGATGTGTTCTTTGTGTGTGCACCTTCTCCAAATAGGCTTGTAGTATCTCGATATCACCCAGATAGTCCTGCTCTTCTATGGTCAGTGTGATAGGCTTGGCGCCTGCACCAGGTCCTTCAAACTGAATGCCACCTGGAGTTCTGTAGAAATCATCTAATAGAAAGCTTGAGGCTTTCTCTCTCAGGACCCTGAATAGTAGTAGGAAAGAAAAGGAGTGTTTATACTTCTCCTGTTCCCTGAATTTGCAGAGAGGCTGAAACTCAACAGTATTAAAACAAACAATTGGATGAAGTTATGTTCCTGGTTATCCAGAAAACTATGCAAAACTAAAGCTTTCTTTTTACCTGCCATCGGCTGTTCATATCATTCTTACAAACATGACCCAAACATGTCAGGGTTCAATCTTTAGGTACTCGAAACACAGGAAATAACTTTATAAAAGGATGCTTCGACTTACGCATATGACTCTGCTTTCAGGTCAATAGGAGAAGGATGGATAACTGGCCTCCTGATAGGAACAGCTCCAGGACCACGCAAGTGCCTCCTCACACTCATCATTGCCTGTTAAGAATGGTAAATAATCACATTCCAGTATTAATACTGGTTATTGAACAAAAGTCACCAAGAAAACAGACTTAAACAGTAGTAATAACAGGTTAAAGGACAATACCGCTAGAGGAACCGCAGTGCATCGCCACTTGTTTGTCGAGTCCTTAAGATTTGTTACAGTAGCCATGTAACCATTCAATCCGGCTGCTATTATTTGCACACAAATATGGCCTAGAACCTGCATTTTTTAACATTTATATGTGTGCCATAGCATGTATTGTTTCTTGAAAAAAAATATATTGTGTGAACAGTATAATTTGTTTAGATTCGTTTCTTACATACACATAGTTGCAGTCGAAGTTTGATGGTAGTGATCCCCGGGCTTGAGAACCAAAGAAGTGGCACACTGAACTGAATTTTCTTCCCTTGTATTTTCCTTCTTCTGGAAACCAATGAAAACATCAGAACTACCAAAATTCTGTACACAGAAAAGAAAACAATAATGCCCATCCTATTGTTTAGATAAAGAGGAGTTTGGAAACGTTAATGAGTACATTTAAAACGTTAATGAGTTTCTTAACCGTAGATTTAGATAAAGAGGAGTTTGGAAATATGCCCATCCTATTGTCGACCTCTCGTTCTGTTTCCACAAAGTACAACTGAAAATATTCAGGGCCATCTTCTTTAGGCCATAAGCTAGGAAGATCATGATACACTACTCCCTGAGCTCGAAAAGTATAGATTCCTTGTCTTGCAGATGCAAGTTCTTTATCTAATTTGACCCCTAATGATGTAAAAGAGAACATACTGTTAAATAGACGAATGTTTATTCGAAACTGTTTTCCCTCTTCCGTCTGTGAAGTGAACAATTCATATAGTTCATCAGGCACTTCAATAGGAGAAAGTTTTACTTTTCCATTATCACAACAAAATGTTGGACACTCGTACTGAAATTTCATTGCACCGCAATGTATGCAATTGGCCATTTTTTCCAACTCATGTATCGTTAAACATACATTCCCTTTGATAATTGAACCTAAAAAATGACAAATACCAATTATTTATTAAATCAAATAAATGAATAAAATGCATAATTTATTTTTCCTATGTACAATAATAATAGAGTACTAATAATATATCTCTAGTAAATGACATTAAGTACACGAAATTTTAATAGTTATATTTAGGGTTGAATCAAACATAATGACAAATAGAGGATTAAAAGCAACATATAGTACTTATTTAGATCTACCAAAAACATGTATATATTTTGTATTAGAGGAATAAATATTTCTAACCTTTAGGTCCAGATGAAACTTCATCTGTATAAAGACATGCAGCACGCATATTTTGACCCTTGCGATGTTTATTTTTTTTAACACAATACACTTGCTTCTGATAAGCATCTAAATCGTTGTATTTTCTTTTCATCTTAGCCGCATTTCGACGTCGACATACTTCCTTTACTGTGATACAAATGAATGAAAATATTAAAAAAAAATATATATATATACCATGCAAAATAAATAGTATGATGAAAATGTTTACTATCAATTTGTTTATGGTGTATAAATTGCATAAATAATTTAATATGATTTTTTTATTAGTTAATTTATTATATGATATAATAGATTAAAAAAATGCATATTAATATGTATATATATATATATATATTAATTACCTGTTGACAAATCAACTGTAGATGATCTTCGGCTCATGATAAAACTTGATAAGATCCTTTAAAAAATAAATCATTGTGGCAAAGAACAATAAATTTAATTAAGATAAATAAAATATAATTTAGCAACATAAGTGAAAATAAAATAGAAACGAAGGTAAAGAAATATTTTGTCCAGATTTTGTGTATTTAAATACGAAAAACAGGACACTACTTTAGTGTGATTTAACCCATTAAAAGGCAGCGTATTGTGGATTCGTTTGCTTTCATTAAGACTACTTTATTCTTATCATCTATATATAAATTTCCCCACAACGAAGAGTAAGGTGATATCTATTGAAGGCAGCAAAATACGGCATAATAATAGTGCATGAGCATGTGTGTGTGTGTAAAAAGATAATTTTCAATCAAAGACGTAAGCAATGAAAGACAATAAGAAACTAAACACCAAAAGTTTTCAGAAGTTGTTCTAAAAACAACAAAACAATGATTTAAGGTTTGAGCTTATAACCGAAAACAAAATAGAGATGATGTAATTTAAAAAAAAAAAAATATAGTATTTAATATATTTTTTTTAAAAAAAAATGCATCAGAACTCGGATCCCTAATATTTCGCGTGTCTGAGTTTGAGGAAGAGTACTCAACGATGCACATAATTCATTAAAACAATGATACAACAAATAGGTGGTATACGATACCATATTCTCTTGTTTTTTATTAAAAACAGATAACACAAAGCACGAAAATCAACTGTTTTTTATTAAATGCATATACAGACATATACATGAACGTTAGTGCTAAACAAAAGTGGAAAAAAAAATTTAAGAACCACACATGTAAATGATAATCATCGCGATTAAGGTAACATACTGTAACGTAAGGAAGATTGAACCACCAAGAGTTGTTCACACTTTCACCTTCTTGTACTGATGTAGACTTGATATGCTTCACAAATGCACTCTTCAATTTCTCCCCACTATTTTTCTCCAGAACAATTCTTCAAATATATGATGAGTTGTTTGAAAAACTGCAGCTGGAACTTATAACAAATTGTTGATTTTTATTTAGCATATTTACATTGATGCGACCATAGGCAAATTAATAGGGAAATCCAATAATCCAGTAGTACATATCAGAGTGTAGGGATTATGAAAAAGACACCAGTAGGAGAAACTGATGGAGTTAAGGGTAGGACCAATCAATGAACAATAGATCAACCACATGTACTAAGATAAATCTAATAAACCTAGGTGTCGAAGTTTCTATTCTGAACAACTTCTAGATGAAAATCGCCAACAAATATCATTTCTCAATAAATCCTAGCTAACACCAGACTTGGAATATCTAATAATTCAGCTAATGGTTTGAGGCCCACCATAATAATCACACAATTTGTAGCCAAATAAACAAAGTGAGTTAATTAATTAAAATATTGACGGCTCAACTGATAAACAACAATTCTCTCCCCAGTGCTTATATCCATTCCCAGAGCTCTATATTATAGAACAAAGCAAAACCTTCTAAAACAGAAGATGCCTACCTATATTTGGCAAAGGTATATCATATTTGCCAGCATAGTTCATGGAGAATTACCTGAAAGCAAACGCAAAAAGAAGGAGAAATATTGGTGAAGCCGATTTACACTGGAAGCATAAAGATAACGGTGTCAAATATCTTAACATGCTTGTGCGATAAAGAATTTGTAACCTCAGAGAGTAAATTCGGAAACTAACTAATCGGCAAATATAAAACACGATCAGTAAGAGGAAATAAAAAAAAACAAAGTAAAAATTGGAAAGCAAATTTAATACAAAATTGAAGTATGCATCATTATCTAACTTCACAGAGGAAGAATAAAGAACCATATTGCCAAATGTAACAGAGATAAAAACCAGGGATGCATTGCTTAGATTTACATCCATTGCTGTGCTGAGGGCCGTAGGTACAACTGTGAAAGGCAAAGGCCATCTGTAGCATTAGTTGTCATAGAAGTTAATGATACTACTGAATTACAATAACAAAAGGAAATGAAAGAATGATGGTGCTTTCAAAATATTGACTCGTCAGTTTAAGTGACAAATTGAAGTCAGAAAAGATTAGTGCCATAAATAATTTCAATTGATAACAAAATAAGTTGAATTTGTACACTTAGCTTGGTCTTTTCAACAGCATAAATACCTCCTACCAAAAGCTATTGAACCCAGGTTTCTATGTTATGCAGGAACTAAGATTCATGGGTAATCTTCAGACATCAAAGGTAGCGTTTCATCATATTGTTATTCAGTTAACATGTAGCCAACTATCAACATGAACAATTTGAATGAAATACTGAACCAGTTTCTTTTGTGAATTTATACTCAATGTTTTCATCAATACTAACTACTAAGAAGCAAACTTCTGTCATTACTCAAACTTCATTTGTCTCATTAAGGCATTTTTAGGGATCCAGGTTAAAAGATTACTTTTCTGAGCCAACATGAATCTCTCAATCAATGCATTGAGCAAAAGAAACACATATCAAATATAATAATTCCATGAGTGTAAAAAAACAGGAAGAAAATAGAACCTGAAGAGGACAGCACATGCATCATAAATCATACCATTCTCTAAGTTAAAAGAATTTATTTTGTCCAGTGAAGAACACTTTTTTCCCTAACTATACACAAAAATAGATAAAAAAATATAAAAAATAATAAATCTAAATACGTCAAGCATAAAAATAAAAATAGATCAAAAAACAAAAAAAATTTATCGAAGGACAGTACCATTTTTAACTTTCGGTTTCTGTAAACTTTTAACACCGGTACCCACGGGCCATTTGTTTGATATTGTCGAGTGGGTGGCGCAAAATGCTTATGGGAAATTCGATTTGTTAATGATTTCGAGGAAGAACTTCTTGTTCTTATTCAGACATATATTTCATTTGTTTTAAAATTATTATCAACCTTAGTGCCACGTACGCATATTTTACTCAAAATCTCACGTTTCAAGCCAATAAGGCATTTAGAGAAGAGTCGAAGTTTCCGGGTGGAAAAGCAACAAATAGAGACACCTTTCCAAAAGTTACTGAATGGTATAAAAAAGTTAAAAAAATCAGACAAAGATAATTTTAAGTGAGTGTGCAAACCAGATTTTAGATACTCTTCATTTTTCGTGGTGTTAAAGAATTACAGCATAATGCATCCCGAGTGTTCATGTTCAAGTGGTATGCTTTGATCAATTAAATTATGACGACAACATACAAAAGCTTCCAGCTATAACAAATCATACTCAGAAGGAGCTACAGAAATATGATGCAATCAATCTCACAGCAACCATGAAAATAAATAAATAAATAAATAAAAATATTTGGGGTAATTTATTGGAATGAAACCAATGAAGATAAACGTGTACATTAAATTGAAAAACTTGTGTGGCTCCCTCGCAGGTTGCTCTCACGAAAACTACCAATTAAAAACCACCAATAACGAAAGCCGGAAAAGGTCACTGAATAAACAATCAGCTCAGTGTAAGTACACAACAAAAGAGCTACCTTCTCGCCGGCGAGTGAGTCAGCGACGATGCGCGTGTGGTCCCACCGAGTGGTGGACTTCGTGAGACGCTTCAGCAACAACGCGCCACCGGTAAGAAAAATATCTGTACAATTACAAAGTTATACCATTAAAGACCCAATTACCACTCGAAAAAAGGAAAACAAAAACTCTCTCTCTCTCGTTTTTTTTTTATCTCTTCCTTTTGGTTCGAGTCTTTTTGTGTTTCTCTTGGGTTTCATCTCTAGCCTACCCCGACTTGTTTGGGATTAAAGACTATGTTGTTGTAATTGGACATCAAAACAGGATAAGAAATATTGCATTCGATTTTCAAGATAGACATCCAGTGAAATCATCTAGCACATAGGAAGATTGTTCTTTGCTCAGATTGTGAAATACTGTATGCTACATAGGAAGCCCAATCTGCACATCGCCGACCCCCCGGAAGTAAGCCGCCTATCCATGGTGCGGCAGATGGATGTGAAAGATGTACCCTGCGGCATAATCTCCTGCACCGACAAAGCCCTCGTCCTCCTCTTCGCCGGCCTCCCTGGGGTCCACAAGGGCTACCTGGTCTACGACGCCTCCAGCAAGTCCATCTCATGGATCCCCAGCCTTCCCGGTTCCCTCAACTGCATGCTCCGGACTGCCATCCTCAGCCTCGGGAAGGGTTCCTACCTTCTCGCAGAGCTCGTTCGTGGTCCGGAGTTGGGCCTTGTCACGCTCTACAAGTGGCGGTCAACCAGCAACACGCGCCGGGGCCGGTGGATCAGGAGTGCGGCTCGCCCTCCTCCTCATCTCTTCATGACCAACTCATTCCACATCGACATGGTGTTCTCGTATGGAAGCTCTTCCGTCTGCTGGGTCGATCTCCTCCGAGGCGTCCTCATTTGTGACCTGCTGAAATCACCGGAGCCAGAGTTTACATTTGTTCCATTACCCTTGGGCTACTGCATTGATGTCCCCAGTGAACCCTGCCAAGGTCGGCCGCGTACAAAAGAGTTTCGCACAATGGGCTGCATTGGTGGAGTCATCAAGTTTGTCACGGTGGTTGGTTACCACGGAAATCATAGCTACGATGACATGCTGCTGAAAACCTGGACTCTCTCACCCGACCACAAGGAGTGGGAGTTGTGCAACCTGGACTCTCTCACCCGACCGCAAGGAGTGGGAGTTGTGCAACACACTAGCTGTGCCTCATATTTGGGCAAGCGATAGCTTTCGCGAGAGAAATCTGCCACAGCTTAAACCCTTTTTCTCTATTATCAGTCCAGATGATGCTGAAATCGTTAATGTCACGCTGAGTGATATCGAATATGAGAAGAAGGTCGACTTTTTTGGAAAGGTTCACCGGGGCCGAATGTTGCTCAAAGCCCAATACTTGGTCTCCATCAACACAGTGAAAAACAAGGTTCTCTCTTCCTGCAAACTAACTCATGAATATCCAAGACCAAAATTTCTTGATCTCACCGCTAGTGATTTGAGTGCATATGTACAAGATTCAAAGGATGTCTGTAAGGTACTATTTGCTCTAATTGCATTCAGTTTATAAAAGAGAAAAGACCTTTTTATTATTATTATATAGAAAAAATAAACTGAATGCAATTAGAGCAAATAGTACCTTACAGACATCCTTTGAGTCTTGTACATATGCACTCAAATCACTATAGCGGTGAGATCAAGAAATTTTGGTCTTGGATATTCATGAGTTAGTTTGCAGGAAGAGAGAACCTTGTTTTTCACTGTGTTGATGGAGACCAAGTATTGGGCTTTGAGCAACATTCGGCCCCGGTGAACCTTTCCAAAAAAATCGACCTTCTTCTCATATTCGATATCACTCCGCGTGACATTAACAATTTCAGCATCATCTGGACTGATAATAGGGAAAAAGGGTTTAAGCTGTGGCAGATTTCTCTCGCGAAAGCTATCGCTTGCCCAAAGATGAGGCACAGCTAGTGTGTTGCACAACTCCCACTCCTTGTGGCCGGGTGAGAGAGTACACAACTCCCACTCCTTGTGGCCGGGTGAGAGAGTCCAGGTTTTCAGCAGCATGTCATCGTGGCTATGATTTCCGTGGTAACCAACCACCGTGTCAAACTTGATAACTCCACCAACGCAGCCCTGCGAAACTCTTTTGGACGCGGCCGACCTTGGCAGAGTTCACTGGGGACATCAATGCAGTAGCCCAAGGGTAATGGAACAAATGTAAACTCTGGCTCCGGTGATTTCAGCAGGTCACAGATGAGGACGCCTCGGAGGAGATCGACCCAGCAGACGGAAGAGCTTCCATACGAGAACAGATGAGGACGCCTCGGAGGAGATCGACCCAGCAGACGGAAGAGCTTCCATACGAGAACACCATGTCGATGTGGAATGAGTTGGTCATGAAGAGATGAGGAGGAGGGCGAGCCGCACTCCTGATCCACCGGCCCCAGTGCGTGTTGCTGGTTGACCGCCACTTGTAGAGCGTGACAAGGCCCAACTCCGGACCACGAACGAGCTCTGCGAGAAGGTAGAAACCCTTCCCGAGGCTGAGGATGGCAGTCCGGAGCATGCAGTTGAGGGAACCGAGAAGGCTGGGGATCTCATGTTGAGGGAACCGAGAAGGCTGGGGATCCATGAGATGGACTTGCTGGAGGCGTCGTAGACCAGGTAGCCCTTGTGGACCCCAGGGAGGCCGGCGAAGAGGAGGACGAGGACTTTGTCGGTGCAGGAGATTATGCCGCAGGGTACATCATCTTTCACATCCATCTGCCGCACCATGGATAGGCAGCTTACTTCCGACCCCAGCAGATTGGGCTTCATGTTCTTCATGTCCGCATCCCTTGCCGCCAAAAGATCGTCATAATCCCAGGAGCCGTCGATTACCGCAGGTCCGCTGCGCACGAAACTCACTCTGCGATCGAGCAAGACCCACGGAGGGTCCATGATAGGGGTAGGGTGCTCGCCGATCGGTCTAGGTGGAGCAAGGAGAAAATTAGAGAGGATCGAGATCTAGATTGCGACGGCGAAAGTAGGCAGGAACCCTATCTGGTCAAGATATGAACGAGAGGAGAACGAAGACCCTGGGCTGCTTTTCACTGCTCAATTAAAAAATCACTTTTTTTTTATGGAAAATTTCAGATCTTTATAGAGATTGAGTAATGGGTTGTCGAATTCTTGGGCTAAAATGGCTGAATTTATGGTCCACGGAATTGTGAGCTGACGGAGGTATGGTTCATGGTTGGCTCTCGTCTTGAACACGTACTATATTGTATTACTTGGCTCATTTATGTAGGACTGTGTTTAGGCTCAAAAGATTTGGATTATTCATTTTCCGATTCTTTAAAATAATATTTATTTTTTTTAAGTCCGACATTAAACATGAGTGTAGAATGTAAGTTAATTAATATATTATCTTTATAATACATTTATGCTAACATAAATTTATATAAAAATAATAATAATTATATTTATTCTTATTCACCATATAATACTAAATTATTATTTTATTACAAAATTTTTGTCTTATAATGTCATTGTTATTATTATAAAATAGCTATAAAAATAGTCTTTTTTTTATGTCATGAAAAATATTTAATGTAATTAAATGAACTTTAAAGAATTCAAACTTAACTTTTTTATCAAATGAATCAACCCGAATTCAAGTCTAAACGAGTTGAGTTGAACTCGCTTGGTGTATTTTCATTTAACAACTCTACTAAGAGTCGGTGACAGACTAGTCTGAGACTCTGAGTCTTTGATATGTACCCATTTTAGTGTTAAAAATGTAAAAAGAACAACTTTCAGCTTCCACCACTAGTGCAATTCTATAAAATGCCATAACTATTGCACACAAAAGAACAAAATAAAGAACCATTTTTTGTTTTGTGCATTATAACATTTTTTCCCAACTATGCCTCACAAGAACTTTAAAGCGATAAAATGAACATCCCTTTTCCTTCTCAAGGGCATACACTGCAATGTTTGCTCAAAGAAAAAAAAAAAAACAAAACAGAACAAGGACTAACTAACTAACTAACTCTTTGAGAATTATTCATGATTTCCTTTTATTTTAAGAAAAATAAGAGTTAATTAATTATCATAACCATTTCTATGTGCTTTCTGCCATCTCCATGCGATGGCCAAGCTCTCTTCAAGGTTCGTATATTTTGCTTTCCAGTTGAGTTCGTTCCAAATCTTCGAAGGATCACTGTAAACTTCGGCATAATCTCCTGGTCTTCTGCTCAGATAATCGACTTTTATGTTCACTCCGGTTGCCTTCTTACACGCTTCCACAAACTCTTTTACCGAGCTACCTATATAGTTGAAACAGACAAGTGTGTAAGTTTATGTTTTTTCGAAAATTAATGCGATTGTGACGACGTCATGTTTAGACCAATTTTAATGTTTCAAAAACAGGGAAAATGTTGGTAAAAATCGAACCCTTTTTCAAAAACAGGGAAAATGTTGGTAAAAATCCAACCTTTGTTAAAAAAACATGGAAAATGATCATAAAAATCGAACCTTTTATCAAAAAACAGGGAAAATGTTGGTAAAAAATCGAACTTTTTCTGAAAACAGGGAAAATGTTGATAAAAATCGAAACTTATTTCAAAAACAGGGAAAATGATGGTAAAAATCAAACCCTTTTTCAGAAACAGGAAAAAAATGTTGGTAAAAATCGAACCTTTTTTTTCAAAAACAGGGAAAATGTTGGTAAAAATCGAACCTTTTCCCGTTCCTACATTGTAGATCCCGACTTTTTCAGGCTGGGCACGTGCTAGAGCTTTTACGTGCGCATCAATGAGGTCCGTAACATCAATGTAGTCTCTAACACAAGTCCCATCTGGAGTGTTATAATCAACTCCTCTGATCTGCAAAACCACACAAGGAAAAACGAGCAAAACGAGGTGTTTTCAACTTCAAGTAAATTATATATCAATCCTTTTTTCTTGGTTATTTTCTTTTCTTTCCGCAAAATTCGACTAGTTGATCAAGAACCAACTAGTCGAACACATTTGTTGGCTGCAAAGCAGTAACAAAGACAGTAAAAACCACATATGAAAGCGAAAAAACGATCTGTAAAAAAACGACACGAAAAAATTTGTTTGTAACAACGAAAGCACAACGAGATCGAGACGGGCACTTTCATAGTCAACCAATATCACCAATTTAGAACCAGAAGTTGCTTTTATCTTGTAAATAAGAACTGAAGTATGTATATAACTCCACAAATTTTTTGGTTTTTAGCTAAAGAAGCACGAATCAAATTTTTTTTTTTTTTTTCACCCGAAAGACCGAGTTATACGCAGTTATGCACCTGTGGAGCATTTGCCAACGAGCAAAATCCCATATAATTACCGTACGACTCGACAAAACTTGAATTTGGCATCTGGTTCTGATAACTGACCGGTGCCTGATTCGTGCCAGAAGTTACATTCATTGCCTGATCGACAAGTGGCAATCTCGATAGATTGACGAGATTTGAAATAGCCGGATGAAGTGGTGGGCTCATACCCATTCCAAAACGGGACATATAATGCTGCATGCCCGGTGGAATCATTTGCGCCATGCCACTTCCCATCCACAACAACTTGATAACAAAACACGAAAAAAGAACAAAAACAAATAGAAGTACAGCTTTAGCCTTTAAGTTTATGAACATTGTTTTCCATGCATTGGGGTATTAAGTATACATGTGTAAAGATGAACCAAAAAAAAAAAAAAACATTCCTGAAGCTGCCATTGTAAAGATTTCATGTACTCGATTGCTTCATCCAACATGGACGCTTTATCTGACTGTGCGAGAAAAAGGTTAGAGTTAGGATAAGTAAATGGTTTGCAAAAATCGATGAGGTAGAACCACGAGCTAAAAGATAGTGAGGAGAAGACGGCTAAAACCACAGGTCCACGGGAGAATGCTTACTAGCAGCAAACGTGGTATAATTATATAAACAGCCCCTCAAATTCATCCTAATTACAGAAAGGCCCCATACGCATTCCAAAGTAACAGATAAACACCCTGACATTACCTCTGTCTTATATAAGAGTGAGAGGAGCTACAAGGTAAGTGCAAACAAGGGGTTACTTTGGAGTTATCTTAGAAGATAAGAGGCCTTCTTTATAATTAAGCGTGATTTTTCTGGGGTTGTTTTGTAACTAACAATTTAACATAACATATAATGGAAATATTGGTCTACACTGAGAGCTTACCTTGTTCGAATGAGGTATAAGCTCCTGCAATGCCCTCATCCTCTCGTTGATCCTGTCTCTCCTTCTCTACATAACATAAGCAGAATATCTATTCAAACGGGACTAAAAAAAGAAAGGTAGACGTAAAATTTTGTTATGTGAAATTCTGTTCGTACCCTCTCGGACAGGTTATGCACTTCAGCCACACGGCTCCTCCGAGTAGCTTTCTGTGCTGACTTATCTCCTGCAGCTGACTCTAACTCAGTTGCCTGCACAGTTTAACTTTCTCACAATCCAACATCTTAATGTATGAAATTGAAAAATAATTGCAAATACTACCCCTGCAGTTTGGCATAATCACGAACAGAGATTCATTGTATGAAATCATGAGATTAGGTGTAACATTAAGGTGGTATTCGTAATTCCCCCATCATGGAAGATAAAAATTTCGAGGGTGGTTTTGCAGTAACTCTTTAAGATGCATATTTATAAGCAAATGATAAAAAGAGTTAAGAATATATACATCACTTCTGCACTCAGATTCCTCCAAGTCCCGGCTCTTCCTTTTGAGGCTATTGGTCTCGTTCGATTTGTTCCGAAAACTACATCTACACCCTCCAGAACAAGACGTAAGTTTCTCTTTATCCGTTTCACATTGAGGGCCCACATTTCCACCATATTTCCCTTCGGGCCCAGCAAAGTGCGTTTTGCCGCCTAGCCCCTGGCTGGAGGAGGCCCAACTCATATCCACATCATTCGCGACCTGATTGCTTGCACAATGGCTCGAGTTAACCATCTTAACCGAGCACTCGTTGACCGGGGCCCGGTCAACCCAACCTGTCGAGTGTTTCTCAGCCGGAATCTTTACTTTATTAATATTGGCACTTTCCAAGTTTTGGTCGAAAGTTGGAGTAGGCATGACCGGAGTCGAAACATTATTAATTTCTGATAAATCAAATTTTGCCAAGGGCCTGTTTGGATCGGCGGAATTAGAGGAAGGGATTTCGGGTAAGAGGCTTGAAAAGAGATCTTTATCAAGGGTCTCGTCGACCCATGAGAGTGCGTCGTAATCTTGAATCGAGTTGATTGGATTTGATTGGCTGTCCTTTACGATTTGTTTCGGTTGCTTTTTATTGGTTTGGCTGTTTAGGACTACTCCACCATTTTTCCATATGAGCTCCCCAAGGTCATTCTCTACTCTGCAGTTTGTTTTTTAACAGCCAGCATGACTCAAGATAAGCTCTTTGTAAAATTAACGAGCCTCTAAAAGACTAAAATAGCCAAGGATGAAGTTGTAAAAGCTTGAAATAGTTGAAGAATATAAGTTAAAAAAGTTGCATTTTTTCGTTAAAAAAAAATTACTATTTTGTTTATTTTGTTTTAGGCAAAAATAACAATCATTTTATATCTCCAGCATCATCTTCTTATTCTTCAGACAAAGACTGTTGGTTTTAGCTGTTTTGCAAGAAAGCTTACCTCTGAGGTTTTTTCTGAAGAGGCAAAGGGAACCCAACTCCTATCTCAGTATTCCAATCAGAAAGCAAATTATCCATCCTTCAAAAATTCTGCCAAAACAAAAGGAAATGAAAAGAAGAAAGATAAGGGTCAAATAATTATCATCAGTATCAACTATCAAGGCCTTAAAGTGTATCTCATGGTAAGTAGCAATGAAATAATACAAACTAACAATCTTGTTCACCCAAAAAGATCAATTTCTCTCTCATTTAGTCACTCTGCATCTCTCTCTGAGTGCATGTGTGTAAAAGACTTGGGAAAAATCAACAACAAACAACCAAATATAGAACAAGAAGATTCCTAACTGAATCCTGAAACCCACAAAAACCTTAACAAGAAACAATAACAAAAAAGGAAGGAAAATAAGAGAAAAGGAAGGAAAATAAGAACAGCTATACAGAGAAGAATCTTGATTATGTACCATGGAAAACAGTATTCTGCAAACAGGACAACAATCTTAACTGACTACAGTTTTTTTGTGTATTTTCTGCAGTGCTTTGAAGTCACAACTTAAGACCAGGACATCAGAGCCACCTTCCACTTGTCACTACCTTATTGGTGGTCCTGGTCTCCTAGATAAGGGTGGCCCCACATTGGGCGATCCCCAGCTTTTAATGAGATCAACATCTTCTCTTTCAATAAAGTTGTGATCTGAAAAATGAGCCCAATTTGCCACCTGGAATGTCTCCTGTCTGGATTGGGAAAATTTATGACTCCATTTAATATTCTGTCTGCAAACCCATTTCCCTGTCTTTTTCTTCTTTTCAAATGGCCACCAGCTAACATTTTTTGTCAAATTAGTATATTCTGGATCAGCATATTGTCCAATACTATTATATAACGAATATGGTGATATCAACACTAATGATATCAGTTTTATGTATGCGAAGTACGAGAATTTGATTAGGTAAGAGGATACGTAAGCAACGTATTCACATTTTTATAGTTCAATTATTCAAATTAGACTTTAAAAATTTTAAATCAAGTCCAGCGGCAACAGTTTTTGTATTCATAGTAAAAAAATAAAATGCTGAAAACCGGCGGTTATAACCAAGACCATATCTGTAGCCGTAAGTTCGTAAACCAGCTAGGAACTCGGACTAGCTGGTCCCTGTTTGGAATTCCGGCGAACCATAACCAATAATCATACGAAACTGCATGTTTTATAACCAAGAATATATCAATGGATTGGTTTACACAATTGTTTTCAAGTATATCACCAGGAACTATAAGTATCTATATATCACTATGTATAATTTTAATACATGTTTGGCCTGAGTGGCATATACAAAGAGAAAAGAAGAAAATGATAAAAAGAAAAAAAAAATTAATTGCGTTATGCATGTTCGTTCTGTATGGAACAGTGCCATGCGAAAGCGCAGACAGCTTACAACTTCTCAACTGGGAAGCCGATAACAGGTTTTATTTCTGATGCCATGGCCCTAAGCTCCTCGACCTGTTCTTCACTAAGTTTCCAGCCCACGGCACCTGAAAACTCCTTGGCTTGTTCCCCGTTTCTTGCTCCAGGAATAGGAACCACATTTCCTTGTGCAACTAACCAGTTTAGCACAACCTGTCGAGGGTGAACAAATGTCGGTAAGTAAAAAAGCCTTAATCACGAATATGAGTAGATTTTTACCAAAATAAAAATGTAATGAACAAGAAAATGTGTGAGCATTTGGAAAGGATAGTGGAAATGTTCTTGTTCGACTATTCTGATAATTGATGGTTTATTTTTTATATATGATTTCAAATATAGCCTTAGGTTTCGGTTAATTTACGGAAGGACCGGGCAGTATGTGGAAAATTACAAATATGAGCATTTGGAAAGGATCATGGAAATGTTCTTGTTCGGACTATTTTGATATTTGATGGTTTTTTTTTATACTTACAAATATATCCTTAGGTTTCGGTTAGTTTACGAAAGGGCCGGGCAGTATTTGGAAACTACAAAAACCTCCTCGACATTTGTGTGCCTAAATTTGACCTTTACTTCCGGTGGCCTTTCAGGACTTGCATTGCATGGTTTCTTATAATATAAATGTTGAATTCTCAAATAATAGCTTAGTATCCTAATGCGGCCGTTTGAAAGGAAGGACCTGAGTTGGAGTTTTTCCATAGCTGTCCCCTATTTCTTTTATCCGGTTTATCAAAGGTTGTAGCTGCAAGATGAACATTTATTAAAGTGAGAAGTTCGGTAAAAAAAAAAAACAAAAATACAATTTGAACAAGTTATGATATACGTGAAAGGACTTACTCTTATCATGAATTCGGGGGTGTAAATCCGTCCCCTAGGACCTGAGGGTGTGTTTTTCGGGGTATATTTCCCAGTTAGAGCACCTGAGATGCCACACAACTCTCGTTTTACTTCGCTCAATAACATGGACATTAACAAACTAACCCCCGAGGTTTAGCCAATTACAAAATCCAGTTCTCTTTTCAGAATTACGCATACGCCACAAAAAATGTTACTCACACCTAATGGGGTTGGTTTCATGTTGATCCAACATAAGCAAATATGAAATGTGACTGGGTTGATCTGTAATTAGCAAATGCTGCAAATTTACTCACATCTTTGTATGTTCTAGATCTTTTTCAGTCCTTTATTATCAAGATAGATAGCATATGTAAAGGGACCACAAATCCAAAGTTAATTAATAAAATTTGTTACGAGTTTGGTTCACCTTGAGCGAGTGGCGAATATGCAATTAAACTGATTCCCAATTCATCACATGCGGATTTCACACCATTTTCCTCTGGGAGCCTATAAATCAGGCTGTAGTTTACTTGGTTTGAAGCCAGAGGTATGCCTCTCTTTTTGAGCTGATCATAAGCAGCACGAAGACGCTTTTCTAAACACCAACAGGTCAGGAAAAATTAACGCATAAACCCAAAAAATTTTAAAAACAAAAAAATGAATTAAAAGGGAGAAGTAGAGAAATATATAAAATGCTACTTTTTAGCTAGTATTCAAGAATCTTTTACCACTATAGTTTGATACTCCAACAGCTTTCACGAGACCCTGCTCCACAACATCGGCTAGACCGTCAATGTATCCTGTAAAATAAGAAAAAGATTCCAAATTTGCTAAGCCCACCTGTGGACTTAAATAATATCAAAATGTGCCAAACTCGACAACCTTAGTGACAAACAGGCAATGAGAATAACTTATCAACAACAACCTTCATTTCCCCATATTCCTGGCCTGAAATTCATTTGAAGGAATAAATCATATCAATATATATTGCACAAAAAGTTCGAAACTTGAATTCGAGTGTTTGGTTTCCATATACCAATGGAGCTGATAGAGATCCACACAAGATAACTCGAGACGGGCTAAAGAGTCCTTCAGTGCAGAAATGACACTTTGTCTACCGAGCCTCCACGGCAAAGCTGCGTATTTGGTAGCAATGGCTACCTCGACTTCAGGATCTTTTTGCTTCCTTTCCTTGATAAACCTTAAAGATTGGAATAAATGAAAGGGTTTAATTACAAAACACTATCCATGTGACTTAATCTAACTGCGGAAAGAAAACTCAGAATTGAGAACAAAGATTTTTGAGATCTATTGCAATTAGGCAGAATGTCAGAAATTGAAAATAGAAAAACGAGAAAACATACATTCATTCGCAGAAGCAAGAATATATTTTAGAGCCTACCTCCCAAGTAAGGTTTCAGAGCTAATTGCACCTAATGACATCTGCAAGAACAGGAAAAAAATGATTTTTTTTTTTTAACCTATCTCATCCCATTAATTAAAATGGGTTGACAAATTAGGTAATTACATGTAATTCATACCCGTGAACCATAGACTTCGGCAGTATCAAAGAATGTTATACCACAATCAATGCTGGTATCAAAAGCGGCCTTAGCAGCTTTCAATTTGCGATCTTGACATCATAACATAAAGATTAAACCAAGTGCCAAGCATATCATTATTAGCTAGCATAATGATCTCAATCTACTCATGAATAATCATCAATTTTTTACTACTTGAAAAGGTTCATGGAGATTATTGACTTCTGCAACTGAAATTATAACTACAGATGAAGGTGAAAAATCGGCTAATCTCCAACTGCACACACTGCAAGCGCTTTTCTATGTTTCTGCATTTTAAGAAAAAGTCCTGTAACAAAAATCCCTCATTTCATGCAAAATTAGTTACCTGTAAAAGGAGCTACGTAAGACTATGAACTAGTGTCTAAATTCCACTTAAACTAAACCCTCATACCAAATGGGAACAAATAGATCAATAAGTTAATAAATTCTGTAGTAACATTTTATGTATGCAGGTAATGCTAGACTCCATTTTAGAACCCTGGTGCCAGAATACCCCAAAAACAATGCAATATTCAATTTCCTTCAGAAAAGTCTACAAAGGTAAAACCAGAATTCAAGAAGTAAAAATGTTTCATTTTCCATCACTTGCACAGTAATCAATAATGATCACCAATTCACCCTTTTTTCACACTGAAAAGAAAATTCACACAAACATACACACGAAAATAGTAACAAGAATTTCAAAAGGGTGCAAGAAAAATTCACCATCCCAATCAAAATTATTCCAATAGCTGGTGTCACCCCATGACCAAGCCCCAATACCAAGCTTGGTCACCAGCAGTTCTGAACCTCCAAGTTTCACTTTGCCCTCCTCAGCTGTCCTCAAACCAATACTCCCCTGTTCAGAAGCCACAGCTCGAACTGTAGGAACTGTACTCCGATTAAAAGCAGGGAAGCAAGCATTGCTCAAAAGCAGAGCCATGGCTGCTTTTCAGTTTTCACTGCTCGATTAAAAAATCACTTCTTTCTTTTTCTTTTTATGGAAAATTTCGGATCTTTATAGGGATTGAGTAATGGGTTGTCGAATTCTTGGGCTAAAATGGCTGAATTTATGGTCCACGGAATTGTGACCTTACGGAGGTATGGTTCCTGGTTCTTGGCTCTCAGCTTGAACACGTACTACAGTACGGGAACCTCCGTCAGCTCACAATACTGATTTAACCGAAACTGTTTTATAATATCGAAAAAAAAAAAAAACAGTTNTTTTAATTAAATACCCAATCCATTATATTTTTTTTCTTTGTCAAACATGAATTTTTATGGTTGTGGAAAGAGCTGTGTATAAAATGTGTTGAGTTAAATATGAGCATTTGGTAAAATAATTATCAGTAATCTTCAAGCGATTGTATGCCCATATTTCTGGAAACTAATTCTTAACGTGAGATTGACATTGTTGTTTAATTCAAATTTAAACGTGTATTTCAGACGATATTATTTAAATATTTTGTAAAAATGTTTTCAACTTTAGCAACAATGAAATATCTAGACTGAAATTTTGTTGCTATTTTAGGTAAATATGTCGTTTCTTTATTATATATTAATAGGCTGAAATTTTGTTATTATTTTAGGTAAATATGTCGTCTCTTTATATATTAACTAGTACAGAGCCCGTGCGATACACGGGGTGCACAATTTTAAGGCTATTTATTCAGGCTTATAATTATATACATCAATAAAAAAAAATGTACGGGATATATATAGTACGTGACCCGTGCGAAACACGGGATATATTTATTTGGAGAATATTATATTATAAGATGCAATATTCAATAAAAGTTTATAATACGCAAGAAAATTGTACAATGTTCAATAAAAGTTTTATAATATTCAAGTGGAGTCTTAAAGTCTCTTGTACATTAAGACTACTGACAAAATAATATTTTAATCAATGAGTTTCCTTTCCTTGTAGCCAGATTGTGAATGTGATTTGAGGAGTACAACAAATCGATATATAGCTGACTTGCTTTTTTCATTGTAGTGTTTTTTTTCTTTTTTTTTTTTATAATGAATTTAAAGATATTCTAAAATATAGCAGAAATTATTTTTTTTATTACAATTAAGATTTTACTAAATATAGACTCTCAGTCTATGATGTTAATCAACGTCTAAGTCTAAAAAATTAGGAATTTTTACCTCTTTTAATGAACGTTTAAGTCTAAAAAACAATAGAATTATTATAAGTTTTTTTTCTACATCTTTTAAAACATTAAATATGAGCATGTTAGGGCTAGCTTGTAAAATAATTAATATATTATCTCACTACAACATTTATACTAATAAAAATTTAATTTTAGCATATAAATTTATCCCTTGATATAAGAGAAAGTAACAGTTTTACTTATTGTTGTTCACCATATAATATTTAATTATTATTTTATTATATAATAAAAAAGGTATATTGTTAAATAGTGTAGCAGAATTGTTATAAAATTATATGATTTTTTTTTTTACAATATGAATTTAATATTTTTTTTATGATTTGATAATATAAACAAATTTATACTTAACTTTTACAAATAAAACAAATAAATACTTTAGTAAGTATTTAATGTATATACTAAATAGGAATATATTTGGTATAATCAAATACCAAATATAATCAAATAAGTCCAAGTGTACATTTTTATTTGGTATTTGATTTTTTTATTATTAAAATCTTTTTATTATACTTACTTTTTTTAAATAAAATAAATAAATTAATTAATTAAACAAATAAAATATTATAATACCAAAATAGTAATGGCATTTAATGCAGTTGACTTTTCTGGATAGTAAATGTAGTAAATAGAATCTCCTTTTATATAAGTATAGATATGATATTATATTATGTTGCTCAAAATAGTAATGCATTTATTGCATTGACTTTTCAACTTACTAAATTTTGTAAATGGTACACCTTATTATATAAGTATAGATAAATAGATTCACAATTCCTAATGATATAGTTTTTGTTGTTCAGCAACTTAGGGCTAAATTTTTGGAAATTGGAAATATATGAGAGTCAATAATCAGGCTCGAATTTATCGAGTTGAGCAATAAATAAGCCAGAAATAAGCTCCAGCCTAGCTAAGATACCTATAAAAGTAGGTAAGAATGTGATAAATTAAATGAGTTGTAAAGAACTCAAGCTTAACTCTTTATCAAATGAGTCTACTCGAATTTGAATCTTAACGAACTGAATCGAACTCATACGAGTCTTTTTTCATTTAACAAGTACTAATAGACATTCGCGTGATTCACAATTCATTATGATTACCACAAAAATTATGTAAAAATCAAATCTTTTGACAATTTTTGCTAATGAAAATGAGGAAAATTCATACAAATTTGCTTAATGTGTGATCTTGGCATTAGAAATGGGTGCTTGGTGACCGACTAGTCTGGGTCATTGATATGTACCCATTTTAGTGTTAAAAATGTAAAAAGAACAACTTTTTTCTCGTACCTTTTAGCCTCCACCACTAGTGGAATTCAATAAAATTAGTATTCGATCTGTGCATTTGCACATATATAAATAAATTATTGTGTGTCTGTATGCATATAATGATTAATTATTTTTCTTTTACTTTTTTGCAGACCAAATTTACAATTAAAAGAGTTGAAATATTTTTTTTTATATTGCGTTTATTTGATTGGATGTAATGTATATTTTGGTACGTCTTTTATTTGTTAATTATTTATTATTTATTTAGGAATTTCAAATATATTTTTTATTTTCAAAAAAAATAAAAATAAATGTAACAACAATAATAACATCTAATCACATTATACGGTCAACACATTATATGGTCAACTGTCATTAATCAAAAGTTTAAAATAATTTTTCTAATTTTGAAGTGATGAGTATTAATTATTTAATGATTAAATAAAAGATTAAATACATAAAATGTAACGGTTTTTGGAGGAAAAATTGTTAAATTGCCACATAGGTAAAATTAAATAGGTTTTATTAAATGCTATTAACTAGTAATTATATATATATATATATATATAGATGCTATAATTATTGCACACAAAGAATAAATAAAGAACCATTTTTTGTTTTGTGCATGATAACATTTTGTTCCCAACTATGCCACACAAGAACTTTAAAGCGATAAAATGAACATCCCTTTTCCTTCTCAAAGGCATAAACTGCAATGTTTGCTCCAAGTAAAAACAAAAGAGAACAAGGACTAACTAACTAAATAACTAACTAACTCTTTGAGAATTATTCATGATATCCTTTTATTTTACGAAAAATAAGAATTAATTGTCATAACCATTTCTATGTGCTTTCTGCCATCTCCATGCGATGGCCAAGCTCTCTTCAAGGTTCGTATATTTTGCTTTCCAGTTGAGTTCGTTCCAAATCTTCGAAGGATCACTGTAAACTTCGGCATAATCTCCTGGTCTTCTGCTAAGATAATCGACTTTTATGTTCACTCCGGTTGCCTTCTTACACGCTTCCACAAACTCTCTTACCGAGCTACCTATATAGTTGAAACAGACAAGTGTGTAAGTTTATGTTTTTTCGAAAATTAATGCGATTGTGACGACGTCAAGTTTAGACCAATTTTAATGTTTCAAAAACAGGGAAAATGTAGGTAAAAATCGAACCCTTTTTCAAAAACAGGGAAAATGTTGGGAAAAATCCAACCTTGGTTCAAAAACATGGAAAATGATCGTAAAATTCGAACCTTTTATCAAAAAAACAGGGAAAATGTTGATAAAAATCGAACCTTTTTTCAAAAACAGGGAAAATGTTGGTAAAAATCCAACCCTTTTTCAGAAACAGGGAAAAAGTGTTGGTAAAAATCGAACCTTTTTTCAAAAAACAGGGAAAATGTTGGTAAAAATCGAACCTTTTTTCAAAAACAGGGAAAATGTTGGTAAAATCGAACCTTTTCCGGTTCCTACATTGTAGATCCCGACTTTTTCAGGCTGGGCACGTGCTAGAGCTTTTACGTGCGCATCAATGAGGTCCGTAACATCAATGTAGTCTCTAACACACGTCCCATCTGGAGTGTTATAATCAACTCCTCTGATCTGCAAAACCACACAAGGAAAAACGAGCAAAACGAGAAGTTTCAACTTCAAGTAAAGTAAATATATCAATCCTTTTTTCTTGGTTATTTTCTTTCTTTGCGGAAAATTCGACAAGTTGATCAAGAACCAAAATTGTACCTTTAGTCCGGGAATAATTCCTCTGGCTGCATCAAAACAAGCGCCCGATATTCTCCCTTGTTCACGCAATTCAGGTCGTGGGGCCTCTCCAAGCCTTCCTTCTGGATCGGATCCAATCACGTTGAAGTATCTAATCACAAACCATCATTCTTTTTTAACTCATTCTTAGCAGAGTTTACAAATAAATAAAAGTGTCTTTTAATTATTAGTCTTTTTGACTTAACCTGAGGATCATCACAGCCATATCTGATGTCTTTGAGAAGTCCAATATAATGTCTTCAGCCATTTTCTTTGCTTTTCCATACGGATTAATCGGTAGCTAAATTTTCCCGGGAAAATTAAAATATCAACACCCGAATTATTGCTTCCAGAATTTTGCCACAACATGAAAAGTGTATACTAAAAGAGTAAAAGTCACTCACTTGGGGAGTTTGTTCTGTGATTGGCATTTTCTCAGGCTCTCCATAAGTTGCGCAAGTACTCGAATAGATTAAGGTCTTTATGCCATGCTTCGCCATTGCTTTCACAATTACCAAGGTGTTTGAAGTAATGTTATGATAATACCTGCATGAAATAGTTTAAAACGAGAGGCGAATAAATTGAAAGAAAAAAGAAAAAAAACAGCCTATTCTCTTCTTTTTTTGTTTCTATGAGATTAATATCGGAATATGTCGATTCAGAAGCAGAAGATACCATTCGAAAGAATACTAATACCGAATTCTCTCTCTCTTCTTTATATTTATAATTTGTTTTTGATAATTCAGCTGCAAAATACTATTACCTTAGAGGTTCGGCTGTGCTTTCGCCGACATAAGCAACAGCCGCAAAATGCATAACGGCATCAAAAGCATTCTCAGAAAATATTCTATCCACCTGATATAGAAGATAAAAGAAAACTTCTTCGAAAAAATATGTCTTTTTTTTTTCTCTCTCGCTTAACAAAAGAATTAAATAAAAATTTGTCAAGGATACAACTGATGCATCTCCTAAATCAGCATATATAAACTGAAGTCTGCCTGGCTCGGGATATAGTCCCTGCAGAACTTTAACAGCTCCCATGTTCCCACGAGAAAGATTGTCCTAACGAAAAAAAATACATGTATAAAATAACATCAAATTACACATACATTGTAATTAGAGATAAAAGTGAAATAAGAAAAATTGCATATATACATACCACAATAGTTACACGATACGAATCTTTCAGAAGTCGAAGAACAGCGTGAGAGCCTATGTAGCCGGCGCCACCTGTCACTAGGACATGCGTTACGCCAGGCTCGTGCTGTGAGAACTGAAAATCAAACAAATTCACATGTAAAGAAAAGTCAGATAATTAAGATCAAGAATCAAGAAAAAATCACTTTAGAAAATAGTGACTTGTACANCCAAAAAAAAAAAAACATCCCAAAAGATCCCAAAAGTCAATTCTAAAATCATGAAAAATTGATTTCCAGATCCCAAAAGGTGAGGATCACTTCTTCTAAAAACAGATAAAGAATCTCGAAAAGAGATCATCAAATGTGAAAATAAACAGTGTTTTTTTTCTTTAACTTTATTATCTTCTATTTCTTGTTCTGTTATGATGACTTTTAAGATACCTTTGTCGAAGTAGATGTGCCGGGAGAATTCTTGAGCATGAAAATGAATAGTGCGGTGAGTCCGGCCGCCAATAGAATTTTCCGAGTCATGTTGCTTTTACGCTTGGTCTCGATGAAATCCATAACCGAAATTCGAATGTTTGGGATCCTTGAACCAAAATTTTCCATTTCAAAACACTATTGCTTTCTTCTTTTCTCTTCTTTTTTTTTTCAGTTTTGAGCCAAGAGATGATCATTGTAAAATCAAGAAACTATTCGTGCAAATATATATTTTGGCCGGCGAATTTAGAAATAACGTTTAACGATTATGAATAACGTATAATTCTGCGCCATATTTAGAAAGAAAAAGAATGTGAGTCCATCTTGTGTACCTTATTGATGTATATAAGAAACTTCAGTCTGATGATGCAGGACAAAAAGTTTCTCCTTCAAAGTCACCACCTAACTGGAAATGAAATCAGAAAAATAATAATAATAATAATAATAAAAAAAAAAAAATTATCTGCCATGATTAATGATAATCAAAATAATCAGGTTGATGAAATATTTATATATTGGTATGCAATGATCCACTCAAAATCATCATGAATGTAATGTAAATGAAATTTAATAGAAGGATCAGGTTCCAAATAACACAGAGCCATACACCAAATTTGCAGAAATTAGTAATAATATTATAAACATGTTGATGAGGCCACATTCAATATCAAATTCACATAAATAGAAACAAGATTCTTGAAGATTCAGTAATTTCATTTCATACAAGCAAATTTGTGATTTGCTTGAATTTATGGATTCAACAATCAAAACAAAGGATTCAACCATAGAAAGAAAAAATTCCCATGAACAAATTTGGAATATAACTTCTCAAAGATGAACCTTGCTAGCTAGTACAAGCATTTATTTGAAAACCCATCTTCTTCAAAAGAATTTAATGAAAATTAAAAAAAAAAAATGAGTTACCTATTAGAAAGAAATAAAGGCAGAATAAATGTCCAGTCAGAAACTGTGTTATGTATCTGTGTTTGTGTGTGTGTGTTTGTTTTAAAGAAGACCAAAAGACAGGCACAAATTAATGATGCAAGTCCAAATGTCAAAGGGCTGCTTAGAATTGGAATTTTTAACACTCTTTCTCTCTCTCGCCTTAATTTCTCTCTCCAAATACATATGTAGAAGGTATGAATTAATAAGGGCAAAAAAAAAAAAAAAAAAGTTGTGTGTTAAGGATTAAGATAATGTTTTTGGAGCATTGTGAAGGAAGAAAAGTGACCATGTTGATGAGTGCAACTAATGAGGATCAAAGCCATGAAATGAGGCGCTTGCAATTGCTCTCCACACGCAAATGTTGCCATCAAACCATGCATTCATCTTTAGTGTGTGTGTGTGAGTAATTAGAGAATAAAAAATGTTTTTGTTTTTCTTAAGATAAAATAATAAATAAAAAATGGATAAATTACCATGATATTTCGAGAAAAGTGAATACTATACAATCACCAATGTTTTTTTTATCAACGTATCACATACACATCCATATAAATGTGTGTTAATCTAACAGCAGAAAAAAAGTCTTGGAAAGATTCAATTATGAGGGTGTTCGTCAGATTGTATGTGATCCAACAATAAAGAAAAAAGAAGAAGAAGAAGAAGAAGAAAAAATAGATATGCAAATTTTCCAAAATTTGAAACAAAAATCAATATTTTTGACAATATTCATCTTGGGATGATTAAAATATTTTAAAATTGATTATGTGTTAATTAAGTTCTTATTGTCTTTCGACGTGTCTCTTTAAATACCCATTAATTTGTTGTGAATTTTGACAATAGAGAAAGGAGTTGACTTGGATTTATCAAAAGATTGAAGCAATCGGGTGTTTTGTAATTTGCTTAGGAAGAACATAACGTGGAAACGTGCAAAGCCCAATCGACTTCTTCACAGGTTAATTTTTAAATCAATTGCATTTTTATTAGTTGTAACCAAATATTATATAGTATTATTCACTTCGAATGGTATTTTAAAAGTAAACATTTCAATTTGATTCCTGTGTTGCTGCAGTCAACACCGGACGAAGAAGAAATGGGCGTCACCATATAGAAATTGCGTACTTACAATATTTTACAAAGCATATTTTATCTTTTTATCATACGTGACACAGTTTGAGGAATTAAAAATAATATCCATGTGATTTGCGTATCTTAATAATAAAGAGAAAATAATACGAATTGCAATCGAAAAAATTGCTGCATTTTCCCTGAAAAAAAACATATCAAACTCATTTGCAAAAATGTACATATCATGATTCGAATTTTTCCATTCACATAATAATGGTGCAATATTTAGTTGAAAAATTTCATTAACAAGAACAAAATAATATCATCATTCAAATTGCATATAAAAAAAAAGGCATACAAACACAAAAGTGAAGTTCAAAACTGACAGAGCTAATGGTATACATATATACTTTCAAACTAAACTATCAAAGTTAAAAATTAAAAATCAAAATAAAAATAAAAGTACAATAAGTCACCCACCCAAAAATTCGACCATTTCACACAATAATTTGTGATAAATATAAAGAGAGAGAACCAAGATCGAAACGAAAAACACACATCATCGTCATCATTCTCAAATGTTGCTCAACACCTGTACATTTCACCCCTTGCAATTAAAAAAAAGTTCATTCAAGGGCTCTACAGTAGTGTCAAACTAGACAAAGCTCTTTCAGATTAAAAAAGCATACAAGAGCTTCCAGATACAAACACAAAGTTACGTAAAATATAAGTGCACTCGTGAAAAG